CCAAGAATATTTTGGACCAGTTATGCATGTCTTGTCTATAGGTTGATTTTGCTTCTCTTCACTTTACAACACTGCGTATTACCTGGGTCTGGTGAAAGCTAATGTTAGCTAATGGCACCACTGAATTACTGAGTTACTGCTTGTAACTAGGGTTGGGTATTTGGGTTTTTTTCCGATACTGGTGCTGAACTGATACTTTTAAAACGGTACTGGTGCTTACAGGAGGTTGAAAAGTGGCACAAATGGGCCACCTTTCAGAAGTGTGTGAGTATTTTGTATAACAGTTTTAAATTACAATAAAAACAGTGTTTTTATTTATTTATTCCTGAGGCAAATTAGAAATACCTAGAAAAAAAAGGTATATGAACTCTATCAACAGTTTTAAAATATAATAAAAAACACTTACCAAATTAACATTACAATAATATTAACTCTATTAAAGTCCGGTCTCTGTAGGCAGCCCAGGCTCCGTAAATGGCAACAAAAACATTTGGGTCCAAGCTGTACCAACCAGCCAGCACAAGACCAGCGAAAGCAAGCACACACACATGAACACGGTGCCCATGTCTCACGGTCTCGCGCAAGTGTGCACACGTGAACGCGGTGCCCAGAGAGCCAATGAGGCTAAAAACAGAGTTCAAATGATGTTTTTCCAAACAACTTTTTATGTCGGGGCTTCAGGACACTTGGATCACTACAGACGAGCAGTATGGAGATATTTTGTGGTTTCAATTAATGTGTTTTTGGACGTTTGAATCTGGGGCTAGCTCCGTTGTGTAGGCTTGTGCCGATTTCCGGTTTAACCGGTTCGGTCCGGTTTAAGAGCTCCACCCGGTTTAATTCATGTCAACCAGATAAACCGGAGGAGGGGAAAAAAAAAAAAAAAAAAAAGCTTTTCACATCAACGGTGTGTCAAGGGACTATATTCAACTTATCTTGCATTGTAACATGCATTATGACAACTTAATAAGGTTTATGTTTGTTGCCCTATTAACCCATTTCCACTGAAGAAGTTCCTGATACTATTTGGGGGCTGGAACTACTACAGGAATGTCCTCTCGCTCGGCCCTCTCAACCGCCGTGTCTCCACTGAGAGAGCGGAGTCGGAGGAAAGTTCCTTGGTGTCCTTCTGCGTCGTCTTCTTCTTGTGTAACCTTGTGTGTATTAGTAGTTAATACAGCATTACCACCACCTAGTGGATTGGAAGCACATTACACCTATAATGGGCTTTTATTGGGAAAAATAGCTCAAATGCGACCCCCAGTGCTAAAATTAGGTATATAATTCGATATATCAGTTCGGTTAGATATTTGGCTTTAAATCAAACCAGTTGGAAAATTTTCAAACCGGCACAAGCCTACCATTGTGTTCGATAACATAGCTGAACATACACAGAAGTGACTCCCAATGGTGCTTAGCGTGCCTTTAAATAATAATATACACTCAACAAATGAACGAATGAATGAATGACTGATTCTGTTACATGTAACGTCCAATAGAGGGAGACATAGCATTAAAAAAAAGCACCAAAAGGAGGCACCGTAATGTGCGTTTTGTTTCGGTCCGGTAGGTATCGGTTGTATAGGTACCGGTTCTTTATAAGCACCGACTTTCGGTACCCAACCCTACTTGTAACACAGCCCCAACCCAACAGTTTTGCTATGGAAACATTAGACCCACTCTCTTGGTATCCCCAGAAGTCGCTCTGGTAATCACTCGGGTCAATTTTGAGCCGTAAACCCCCTTTAGCAGTCTTAACAACTGTTAGCTCTGTTAGTGCCATTAGTAGTGTCAGCTTAGCTACTGGTGCTGACCAAGCACACTATAAAAGAAGGAAAAAGCATCAGTGACAGCATTTGAATTTTGCATCAGAGTCAGACTTTGGTGCCACTTCTAATGGGGTCAATGGGGCAGGCACGACAAATGCACAATAACCTATCATATCTTTGTTGTCACAACTTTGACTTGTGCAAAATGTCTGTGTATCAGTCAGTGTGGTTTACTGTATTGTAAGTACACAGTATTTTGGTTTACATGCCGGACAGTGCTGACAATTTGGGTTATAGAGCACCCAAAAATGTTAGAGGACATGGACATATTAAATAATATGGTGTAAATGGTAGGGCAAAACCTCTGACAGCTGACAAATTTATGTCATGTCACAGTTTATGTAGTACTAGTGCCCACCACTAATAGGAACCGTGCCTAAATACATTTAACTATAAAACTGAGAACATTATGATTTGAATAATAAAAATTTCATCAAAGTATGTGTTAACACAATTAAGAGATACCAGTTGGCATGGAATGCTAACTGTGGGTACTTGATAATTCAGTGCCAAGTAGGGGCGGGGGAAATAACTGATTTTTAGATGCATCGAGATTCTGTCTTAAACGATGCGAGCATCGATTTGGAAAACTCATAATCGATTTAAATTTTATTTTTATTTTTCAAATCACTGTAACTCCTCGACCATTCACGCTATCAACGTAATTCCAACGGATTCTGAAAGCTGAGAAGCTTTCCAGTGATATACAGTACATTATGGTAGTGATGTCATTACCTGTGGAGGAGGGGAGGGAAGTGAGCACAGTAGGAGGAGAGTGACAGCTGACGAGGAGAGTGGAGAGGAGAGAGAGTTTGGGTGGCGTTTTCTTTGTAAATAATATTTAGTGTTGTAAATAATAGTATTTGTGTTTTTTTGAGAGTTTTAATAGTATGTGTTTTTATAGTTCATAGATAGTTATAGTCAGTTATAGTTTTGTAAATACTGGAGGAGAAATGTCGAGGAGGTCGACAATGGACAGGAGAGTCCCCTTGAGATTTGTGGATGAGGAGGATGGACCGGAGGAGACTGGTGGAGTGTAGTCATTTCAACCACAGTCAGTAATACAGTTTGTATGCACTAGATATGTATTCCCAGCTTTATTACAATAATGTTTTCAATATCTAGTGTAAAATTTCTTATTGGCTCATTTTAGAATCAAGAATCATTTTATAATTGAAATCGTTGCCCTCGGAATCGGAATTCAATCGAATCGTGAGGTGCCTAGAGATTCCCACCCCTAGTGCCATGTAAACAATTCAATCTGTGCTCAAAACACACTAAGATTGCATACCTAGCCCTACTCTTGTTTCAAATAAAGATAAAGTTCAAAGTTCAGTTGAGTTCAGCACAGGTGAACTCCACGTGGCTTTGTTGTGAAAACATGACTTAGAGCATCAAGGCAGCATGTGGCTGTATTCCTACTCTACTGTAGAACACAGCTGACATGGCAGCAAACATTAAAGTGATAGTTCAGATTTTTTTTAAGTGGGTTGTATGAAGTAGTTATTGGTAGTAAATGGTCAGTCTGCATGCTCCCAGTTTGGAGGAGCAGGCTAAAGTCCAACATGGAAGCTAAGCAATGTTCTGCTGAGGAGAGGTCAGTAATAGGGGTGGGAATCACCAGAGGATCCACGATATGATATTATCGTGATTATCACTTAAGTCACGATACAATATTATTGCAATATATGTTGCGATATACTGAGTACTGCAATAAAATATATTGCCACTTATTACCTTTTTTCAAATGTAAATTATACCCCCAAGTTTTCAGTCTGTTGATATCACTTCAACCATTGTTTGCAGCAGCAAAATGTATCTAGTGGACTGAAAAAGGTATTGATTATATTATTCTAGTAGGCTACCTAAAGTTTCATTTGTATCTGTCATGTTAATAATTTATATATAATATAATTATAATTTAAAATAAAAGATACTTGGCGATATGAGACAATACAATATTGTCAATTTTATCTCCCACCCCTAGTCACTAGTAAAATATATTCTAGCCTGCTAAAAAAAAAAAGGCCCTCTGAAACAATCAGAATTAGTTGAAGTGTACGGTACATGAAGAATATTTTCAGTGCTTTACCTTTCTGTCAGAAAGCAATTTCAAACATGAATCTGAAGCCGTTATACTGACTTCTTTAAAGGTAGACTCCATTGAGAAAAACAGTGATTTAATGTTGCTGAATACAGGAGCTGCTGGTCTACCACTGCCTCCGTCAGTTATTTTGTTTGTGTTATTGTGTGACTCAGTGTATAAAAGGGTTATCTTGGATTCACCAAAGTCACACACTAACACAAATTAACTGATCAAGGCAGTGGTAGACCAACAGCTCCTGTGTTCAGTGAGCTAAAATAACTGTTTTTGTCAGTGTTGTCTGGTGACTTTGATGAGAGCTTAGATGTGGAACTGGAGCTATTAATGGCTTCTCCATCAGATCAGGCAGTCAGACGGAAAGGTAAAATGGTGAAAACATTCTTATTATAGCATACACTTACACTGATAATGATTTTTTAAGGGCTTTTTTAAGTGGCTGAAAGACATTTTGATGCTGACCCCTCCACAGCAGTGCATTGCTTAGCGTCTTACTCCACGTCAAATTCCAGCCTGCTTCTCCAAACTGAGGGCGTGAAGACTGACATCTACTGCAGGTAATACATTGACTATGGATAAGTACGTCATACAACCACACAAAAATCAGAACTATCCCTTTAAGAGCTATCTTGTGCTATAAGGAAGCATGAAGTGGCTAAGTGTGAGTAGGTACAGTATTTGCTTGATAGGCTTTGGATGCCTATAAACATGAGGGACAAATCCACACTGAAAACAGAACACACATTATTAATATGATGTTGGAGAGTTCAGTCAACAGTATCTCTTCTTTCTGTATATGGATGCACAAAGTTTCACTTGAGTTATGTCCCTTGAATACAAGTTTACATGTGATATTTTGATGAATTGACATACATGTTAATCATCTACTGGATTGTGCAATTACACAAGCTTCATTTTCATTCAGTTCTGTTGTTTATGTTTTTTTTATTCTGTAGCACTGGGAAAGACCCAATTATCTTGAATACCACATTAACTGAACATTCCAACATCATAGAAATATTGATATACAAATCCTGGTTACATGGTGGATTGTCCCTTTCACTACATACGCTGCTGTTGCTCCATAGCAAGCTTGCACTTGTAGTAGCTGAAGTATTCTCCCCCAAAAAGGAAGGAGAACTTAGGGTTGTCCTTCTGTTTCTCCATCGTCATCTTTTCAAACTCTGGCCCGTTCCGAGCAACAAACTGGGCCAGCTTGTCAATGACATTCCTCAGTTCTTGATCTGCACCAGGAAAAAGAAGAGGAGGAAACAAATTCAGTCAAAGCTGTGGCAGCTGATGACCTGTCTAAAAGTGGTGACAAATAAATAGCATATGTTATCATTACATTACAGATGCAGAACTCAAAGTTTCCCACACATTTGTTTGCGGCAGTCCGCCATGATTAAACATCTGCAGTGACGTTTTGATTTTCTGTTTTTGGAGCTGGACCATTCATTAGGAAATGAAATATACAGAGCAAATTCTGGGTACAGACAGAGCAGTAGAATGTCAGGTACAGTCAGAGTGAAACTTATCCATGTATTGCACTGAATCTGATGTGATCTGATCAACTCTGATCAAACTGACTGATCAATTATCCACACCGTGACTCAAAACTGCTGCTGAGGAAGAACGGAACTCATCAAGAGTTCTGTGTGTGCTAAGTTCACGGACCTCCAAAAACCACCGAATTTAGAGAGGGGACACGGACATACACACGATAAGAAGGAAAAAAAAAGAAAAAAAAAAAAGTAAAGTTATACCTGAATCCAAGTGCCCTTATGTGTGTTCTTTCTATGTCATGGACAGACATACCCTAAGAAATGGCTTGGCTACAATTAGGGTTGCAACGGTATGAGATTTTTAGAGTACCATAACGTCCCAGAAAATATCACAGTTTCATGTTAACGCAGTATTACAGAATTTATATTATTATCAGTCAGAATGACCCTTTAAGGACTGAAAACATAAGGATTATTTTGGTTGAGCAAATGTTTTATTACTATAACTGAAACTTGAAACCATTTAGTTAATGGAAGTATGCGTCAAAAGTCTCCACTTAGAAAATAACTAAAATAAAGGGAAGATTCTCCATCCAGTTGCATTTTTTCTAAAAAATATCATAGATAAGCAAATGTATACGGTATGATATAACCATCTACTTATATCATATTGTATATAATATACCTTGACACCGGTATATTGCTGCAACCCTGGCTGCAGTGCTCCATTATAGAGGTCACGTTGGGTGATGAGGTTGTCAAATTTATTTAAAGCTGTTGTTGGTAACATTTAGAAAACATAACTTTTTTCTCATTTGCTGAAAAACTGTCACTATATCCACACCGCACTAAATGAGACAGATCTGTGAAAAAACATTACACTCCTCTGCCTACTCCATTATCTTATAGCATTTCTAATGGGCATACTGCTTGTGAATTAAAACAACCAATCAGAGCTGAGGAGTATCTGATGCAACTGTCAATCATGTCAATCGCTGCTTATGAACTTTGGTCAACTGTCAAACTAGGCAGTGCTGATCACATATGTATCAACTTTCTTTTACTGCATTGCTGGTTTCTCTCCTTCAGTGTTTTCAGTGACACTTTTTAATGTACTGTTTAACTGTACAATGAGAAAATTGGTCTGGCCAATGGGTGGTGTTTGGTACTTTGGCTAACTATTTTCAATATGGTGGCCGAATCACTAACCTTTTCATTTTACACTAGTAAACAGTACACTAAAATATGTTTGTGAAAACATCTGAGGTGAGAAATAGGATATTGGGGTTGCAGCGATATACTGGTTTTAAGATATATTGTGATAAAAAAATGTGTCTTTTATCATACCATGTACATTTGCTTATCTACAATATCTTTTTTTTTTTTAAATGCAACTGAATGGAGAATCTCCCCTTTAGTTATTTTTTAAGGGGAGACTTTGTTTTTACACATACTTCCATTGACAAAGTGGTTTCAAGTTTCAATTACGTTAATAAAACGTTCAACCAACAATAATCCTTCTGTTTCCATTCCTTTAAGGGTCATTCTGATAATGATATAAATTATTTAATACCGTGAAATCGCAATATTTTCTGACACCATGATTGTACTGTGAAAATTGCATGCTGTTGCAACCCTAAAAAAGGCCCAGTATTACCTACAAAAAAACAAAACAAAACACTACTACTTGCAAAAATAAGGAGATGCAATGACTGCACACACTTAAGCAGCACATAAAAACAGTAACTTTACATAGCCCTGAGTAACAAACTCATATCCAACCAGGATTTAGATTCTGACATAGGCTACAATAAACGGTCCCGAATTAATGTGCTTCTATCCGTGCTACAAGCTGAATCAATGAGGAAATGAAACAGCTGTCTGGCTGTGTCAGAGAGAGGGGACAGCGAGGACAGACAGCGTTCGCAGGGTTTGTTGATGAAAACCTACCAGGGGACAGGTTAGGTTCACAGAGTTAGTTACCACAGTAACTGACAGAGTTTAATGTAACTCTCATTCTGAAACCGAAAACCCAGAGTTTCCCTCATCTCAGTGCTAACTACCTCACAGTTTTCACTAAATCTGCTTTTTAAACAGGGCCCAGGTGGTTAAAAGAGTCGTTGATAATCCTGAAAAATGCCTTCAAAACAGTGCTACCTGTAGTTAAACAATCGTCTGGGTTTTCAATGGCTGCCTGGGTAGTAATGGGTATAATCTTTCAGAAAAACCGAAGAGGCACAAACCAGGACTAATTCTGACCATCGCTGTGAAAATGGACAAGTTATGTGTAGGCCTATCTGATCAACTCATCTTGGGTTTTTAATCTGAAACACCTAAATTCCCGCTCAAGAAGGAGAACTATGTGTACAGGCATCTGACGGTTTTAATGACATCTGATTTTTTTTTTTACACACACACACACACACACACACAGATATTAGTAGTGTAACGTTAGCCTGAGAAGAGGTGATCCTAGTTTCCCTGTACTCATCCAGGATTGATGGTCTGCACTCCAAAAAACACTGAAGTAAGCATGTCACATATTAACGGTACATATCACCCATTCTTACATTAGCTAAGCTAATATTACTAATTTTTTATATGGCTTACGAAGAATTTGACAATGGCACCAAAAGAGAAAAGAAGGAAATCGTAAACTTGGACGAAAAATAAATGACTGCATCCGTGAAAGTTAGTTGACTTAGAAAATACACTCAACTACTCAATCTTTACGTTAGCTAACGTTACTACAAAACTACTCTAAAAGCCATCCTATTTCACACTGCTTAACACTGGTACAAAGGTGTATACAAAAACCGGTTAAATAAACATGCACATGTACCTACTGACGTTACTAACGTTGGCCGACATGCTAAATGTCGCGGTGCTGCATTGTGTTGAATTGCAGCATTAGCTCCAGGTAGCATGGGTGCTAGCTCACAGCTCATACAACGCAAGGAATGTAACGTTACTGCTCACCTTCGGGGGGATTGGGCATATCCATGTTTGTCGTCAGTTACAGCGATCCCGCTGAGCCTTATTAGACAGTCCAGAGATCAGTCAACTCGCTTTACTTTTCACTAAATGGTTTATAATTGACAAAAAAACCGCACTTGCGCTCCCCCCGTATCGTACACCGGAAGTATTATTACACAGAAACAGCGCCATGAAATAGAGCCGTCTGATTATTTTACAGCGCCACCTGGGGATTGGAAAACGATACTACTACTATTACTACTACAACGATTACTTCTTCTTCTTCTTCTTCTTCTTCTTCTTCTTCTTGAGATAGTATTAGATAAGATTAAAATAATACTGATCCTAATAATGATAAGCCCTTCCCATCTAGTCCCCATTCTATTGTAAAATTTCCAGTTTTCCCAGTTGAGCCTAAACACTCTCAAAAGCTGCTGTACATCTTCTCAAGAATCACCCACCATCCAGAAATCTCCTTGCCACATCTATGATTATTTCAATTTTCTCAGATTTTCTTTCAGATCTAGCAGTTCAGTTAATAACTGTCGTCACAAAGGCCAAAAAACTTCATCTATTCTTTACAAGCAATATTCCTAATGCTTCCTAGCTGACTTGCCTTCCTAGCTGACTTTAATTCCCAACACAAAAAGGTCTCCCTTTTATTGACTCCCTATTTCTTTACTGAACAATGACAACAAGAGATTTACCTCAGTGATTGCTGAACAAATTAAAAATGTATCAGATCCAATTACTGATAAAGTCAAATAAAAAAATATATATTTCTAATATATCATCATATTATGTATCAGGCTTGTTTTAGATGAAAGTGATTATTCATTTTTATTCCTTGATGAAATGTATCCTTTTTCTGGACTTCTATAAAGCGTGTGATACGGTAGAACATATTTTCATATTTTGTTCCATTGAAAAAATTGGATTTGGGGACTTTTTCTTTAAAGCCATTAAAACTACATTCTCCAAACGTAATAGCTCAATCAGATTGAAAAAATGATACATTCCCAGTTTAGTTTAAAATCCATCAGGGTCAGTCAGGGTTGTCTGGCCTCCCCATATTTATTCATTCTTTGTACTCAGCTTCTTACTAATCATATTAAAAATAACACATCCAAAGGAATATCCACTGCAAACAGATATAATAATGCTTATGACACTACCTTGTTTTTAAAAAATATCCAGCAATCTCTCTGTTGGATAATAAGCAGATATGTAATACAACTGACAAAATACTGTTCAACTCTGTTTGGAAAAAAAAACAGGACTCATGTGGAAAAAATCTTTTACAATGAATAATCATGATGCCGGTGGACGCAACTTCTCAATTTTACCACTCTTGATAATACCTTCAAGGTTAATTGGATAAAGTGATTTCTAAACAACACTTCTTCCATTTGAAACTTTATACTTAACAATATTTTCTGTAAGATTCGAGGCCTTGAATTTCTTCTTTTGTGTGATTATAAAAGAAGAGAAACTTCCCTTAAATTTGTCTACATTGCTGACCACCGTGATTGGTTTGCAATCAGCTGGTTGGAAATTATTCAGATTGCCACCTCAAAACTATACCTGTGTTCAAAGAACTTGCATTAAATTAAAAATGGTGTCATTTACTATAGGCTATATGCCCTCAAAAATGCTTATTCTCCATGAACTACATAGACAGACGGACGGACGGACGGACAGACAGACAGATAGATAGATAAAATCCCCCTCACACCCTCTCAGGGTGATATCTGTGTCATCCTCAAGCTCGGGTCCTCTACCAGAGGCCTGGGAGTTTGAGGGTTCTGCGCAGTATCTTAGCTGTTCCTAGGACTGCACACTTCTGGACTGAGGCTTCGGGTGTTATTCCTGGAATCTGCCGGAGCCACTCTCACTGCCCCGTGTGCTCCTACTAGCACGGGGACCACATCAACCTTCCACATCTGTTCCAGTAGTTCTTTAAACCCTTGATACTTGTCCATCTTTACATGTTCCTTCTTTCTGATGTTGTTGGTGTGGGGAGCAGTGAGACCTGGCATTAGGGGAGTGTCTCTGGGATGCCAGAGATCACTGTCTAGCCTCCTGGAGGTGTTGTGGGACCAACTAGACAAAACACTGGTGAAAGGAGGTTCCCACCTGATGACCCCAAAGACATGTTAGTTATCACAACTTACTGGTCTGTATAGTTAAGCCTTGCCATAATAGCTTATCATAGGGCTCAGGAGGTAATTCACTGAGTGCTAATCCTTTCTCTAGAGCACAAACTTCTTGTGTTTATTTGAATTCAGAACTAGCCCAGCAAGTGACTACTGTGAATAGGGCAGCTGACAACAAGGGAAAGACCATGTGACCACTTGGAAAGACAGCTGACAGGAGGGAAAAGATCCCAAAGGTGCTGGCATGGGCTAGCAACCCATGGTAGCAGTGGTGAGGCCTAGCAGCCTTACTACAACCAAAATTAGCTACAGCCAACATAGGGAAAATACCCCAAGAGTCAGCGAGAGCAGGGGTGGAAGATGACTCACAGATGGATTACATGGTAACAGACATTGGAACGGACACAACTATGCATTGGATCTGGGCTAGAATTAGCAGCCCTCAGGACAAGGCGAGCGCATCTATAGAGGATAAAAGTAGCACAGTCAAGAACAAGATGCTTGAGGTTTGTCCTTTTGGCTGGCAGAAAGTAACATAAATAAAAGGCCTCAGAACTCATCAGGGAGAGAAGAACTGTGTGACAAAGAAAGGGCAGAGTAGCCGCATTGATCAGTACTTCCTAAGAAGTCAGTCGAGTCAGTCGGATGAAGTCCGGCGGCAGGTAGAAAACCACAGTTCGCAGGATATCAGTAACACTGCCACTGAGGAGGAGGAGGGGGGTTAGTAAGAGAGGATGCAGGTGACACTGAGGTCAGTATGCCAGTCAGAGAGAGAACCATGGAGCAAAAGGTTAGAGTAAGATGGCCTAGGGCAAATGATAGTAAAGAATAGGAGATAGTTACTAGAGGTTTGTCAGTAATCTTAAGTAGGCTTAGAGGAAATGCAATAGAAAAGTTAGAAAAGATGGGAGATATAATTTACTCATATGGTGCAGAGAGGTTTGGGTGAGGTTAGGGCACAGTCAGGTAAGTCTAGGCAGCAAAGAGAAATAGAGAAGTTAGTTAAGGAAAGGAGACAGTTAAGAAGGCAGTGGAAAAAGGCTACAGAAGAAGAAAGGGAGGGAATTAATGTGTTGCAAGAGGCGTTGTGAAGCAGGCTAGCAGTTCTTAGAAGGGCAGAGCATCTCAGGAAAAAGAGGAGGAAGAAGGAATATGTAAGGACAGGTTTTTTCAGGGACCCTTTTAAGTTTGTTAAAGAATTGTTCAGCCAGGAAAGGGAGGGCAGCTCAAAGCAGAAAGGCTAGAGGTTGAATAATATTTGAGAAATACGTATTCAGATGTAGAGAAGAATAGGATAGTAGGTTTCCCACCGGACATCCCTCCATTAGGAGGGATAGAGCATGAGATAGATGTCAGGCCGCCTAGGAAGTTTAGGAGGTGGTTAGGCATGCAAAGGCTTCTTCGGCCCCAGGGCCTATTGGAGTCCCCTACCGGGTTTATAAAAGTGCACCTGATATTCTTAAATTTTTGTGGAAACAGCTAAGAATAGTTTGGGAGAAACAAATTATCCCAAGAGCATGGCATAGGGCAGGGGGTGTCCTCATTCCTAAGGAGAAGGAGTCTGTGGACCTTAGGCAATTCCGGATGATTTCTCTCTTGAATGTAGAGGGGAAGATTTTCTTTAGCGTAGTAGCGCAGAGATTAGCTAGCTACTTAGAAAGGATTAGCTTAATAGATACTATGGTACAGAGGGCAGGAATACCAGGTTTTGCAGGGTGTTTAGAGCATACTAGCATGATCTGGCACCAGATTCAGGCAACGAAGATTAAAAAAGGGACCTGCATGTAATATTTTTAGATCTTGCAAATGCGTTTGGTTCAGTCCTGCATAGCCTCATTTGGAGTGCGTATGACTACTTCAAAGTGCCACAGGTAGTTGTTAACTTAGTGAAAGCATATTTCAGGATATTAGGTTGTGTCTAAGTACGGCAGGTTTCACAACAGGTACCAACCTGTTGTGAAACCTGCTGTACTTAGACAGGCTAGAAATAGGCATTATGGCAGGGTGTACAATTTCTCCATTAGCATTTACTATGGCGATGGAAGTAATCATCAGGGCTTCTAAGTGGGTGGTAGGTGGGGAGAGACGGCAGAATGGGTTGCATCTTCCACCAGTTAGGGCTTACATGGATGACATGACACTGGTGACAACAACAATGCCATGTACAAAGAGGCTACTAGAGAAGGTAAATAAGAACCTCAAGTGGGCCAGCATGAAGATCAAATCTAGTAAGTCTAGAAGCATCTCGACACGTAGAGGGAAGTTAAGTGATAGGAAGTTTGTCATAGATGATGAGGGAACCTCTATATCCTAGGTTAATGTGGCCATTGTCAATTTATGAAATCCCAATATCTGTTGTGGAGAGAATTGAAAGGTCGGTTAGCTCCTATATTAGGAAGTGGTTGGGCGCTCCTAGGTGCCTAAGTAGTGTTGCATTGTATGGAAAAGGGATACTTCAGCTGCCAGTATCTAGTTTAACAGAGGAATTTAAATGTACCAAGGTCAGGACAGAGCTCGTGTTATCTGGGAGTAAGGATGTGGTAGTTAGGAGTGTGGTTACAAATCCAACCAAGGAGAGGAAGTGGAACCCAAGATTGGCAGTTCAGGAGGCAGAGGCAGCTCTTAGGCATGCAGAGATTGTAGGTAATGTTCACTTTGGCCGGGGAGGCCTGGGGCTTGGCTCAGGCAAACTGGTATGGAATAAAGCAGGTCTCAAAGATAAAAGAAAGCTGGTTGTGGAACAGATACGCAGGCAGGAGGAGATATTAAGGGGTGCAAAGGTAGTGGCCCAGGCAGGGACAGTGGTTGAATTGGGAAAGTGTAGAGAAGAGGAAGCTTAGTTGGAGGGACCTGTGGAGTATGGAGGAGAATCGTATTAGATTCCTGGTAGGGGTTACATATGATGTGTTACCAACCCCCCAGAACCTAAAACTGTGGGTAAATGGGGACCCATCATGCCCATTGTGTTCAGGTACCGCAACCTTAAAGCATATTTTGTCAGG